CTTAGAAATAATGTGATTTACTTTGTTCAGTTAAGAAACTAGTAATCAACTTTTACAAAAAATTCAATATAAAAGACTTATAAATAAAATATATTAATGTCAAGTAAAATAAAGCTTTTGAAATTTATTTTAAAAGTATGAAAAATTCCATTTTAACTTGCATTTTAATTAAAAAGACTAATTCAAGTTATCTTGTAAAATCAAGTATTTTAAAATATAATTATGTGTAATGGAACAATTTGAAACAAGAAATGACAACTAGTAATTCCTAAAACTTCATGCAGTTATGTTATGGTCTCTACTCTGCATATGTAATATATATAAATAAATTTTAATTTATATTAGACAGCTTCTAATTTCCTTGTAGATTACATCTTTAGTGTCCGTTCACTTGCTGGCTCAGGTGGCTGGAGATGACCAGATAGATGTACCTAAATATAAGTGTCTGGTCTCCTTGGAGTTCATTAAATCTGTAGCCAGGTGAGTATAGAGATAGTACCAGTGAGTAGTTCATTTCTTATAAATTATTATTTCTCACAGTAGTCAAGGGATATTTGGTTTACTCTGTGCCCCATAAACCAGATGGCACTGTGGGATTAAATTACAGTACAAGGGTTTTTATTTGAAGCAGAGTAAACCTTATCCATGGGCTAGTAATCTTTTCTTGAAAATAAATCAACGATAAGAAATGCAGCAATTTTATAATGACTTTTTAACTTAATAATTTTCCAAGTTAACCTTCTCGTGTGATGAAAATTATCTAAAATTAACCACCATGTGCCCAGAAGATTTGAGTTCTTTAGATGCAATTTTTAAACTTTTTTCAATTTGCAAATAAATGTTTATAACTAAAGTTATTCATAAATATATCCAATTTTTATTAATTTGAAATTGTATCAATTACAAATAAGGATGTGAAAAACATAAGGCTATCCTTATTGTTGTCCGGAATGGTGCCAATTATGATTCTCTTTGATATAATGTCACATGCTGAAAAACTTATCAGGAAAAAAGATCAAACATTTAGTAGATGTAAACTCTTTTTAAAAGTACTACTCTGGACCAGAGACATTATGAAGTACTTGCTTGTTGACCTACTTAGGTGGCACTATTAACCTAGAAAATACTTTGACAAGACGGAAATTATTAAATAAAGTAAGACTGTAATTGGAGAGGTGCTTCAAAATCATGAAGTTTCTAAAGAGTGTCTGATTGATATATGGAATAAATTGTGTGTTTAGGGGTTTGAAGCTTTCGATTAATTTGGTTAATGTACTTTGAAAGCAAGAAGTATGGAAAAAAAACTTTGATACAATATATATTTTGATTTGGGTACATATATCAAAAGCATTAAATTTGCATTTTATTTCATTGCTTCATAAAGCATGAAACTACAGGATAGCTTTCAAAGTGCATTAAGTGTAATGTATTATTTAAACTTGGAATATTTTTTGCTGGATTTGTTGGTTTCAAAATTTCATTAAAAGTATAGATGATCCTAATATCTTGTTAAATTTAATCTATACTCTCTTCAAATTGTAAGACTGAGTTTTATTCTTGTTGATAAGACCCATATGCTTCATCGTGAGTAAAATTGAACAAATTTAGTGGAGAATTACCTCTTCAAAGTGTGGATGCATTTTTTAATCCAGATTACCCTTTTGGCATGATTCAGCACTAGAAGAGAATAAAAACAGAACTGTAAAATCAATGAAGAAAACCTTTTGAGAAAGATACAAAGATATATTTGTACTAAAGTTATCTGTATTTTGAATTACATTTAGCTTCTCATTTGCATCATTATTTTCTTTCAGGACTGTGAATTTCGATGTTTTACGATATCTCTATGACTTTGTTTGATGAATTCATGTGACAATTCAGTGCAGTAACAATGCAAACAGCTTACATCAATAAACAAATCAGACAGAAGGACAAACCCTGTGTTCAGTAACCTAATGAGTCCTGTGACAATGTGAAGTAGACAGTTCATTAAGGATTTGAATGTGTGTCTCTTTTAGGAATAAAAACAACCAAACAAATATTCTTATGAATCTTGAGCTGTGAAGTTTTTGAAGTGTGACAGCTCGAGTCGACTCTCAAGAAAATGAATATAATGTTTATGTCTAGGAGAACAAACAAGTGAAAAATCTTGAGTTGTTTATTGAAATGACTCAGCCTATGTAAGGCATAAATATTTTAAAAATTTTGACACCATGAAGTAAATATCAAACCATGTGATAGAAATAAATGCTCTACATTTAAATGCACTTATGAAAATAAAAATTTACGCATTATTTTTTCAGTATTTTCTGCGCTTTTGCTTTATCTTTCAGAAGAAAAGAAGGGATTTACGTAACTGAAAGAAATCAAATAGAACATGTTTCTATAAAGTACAAACAGTTACCATATCACCAATTTGCACTGAAATTTCGAGTGCCACACTTGTAAAAGTTGTGACGATTGGCGTAAAAAAAGATTATGAAATATAATTGAAGTAACGTATAATTAGCAGAGTAGTTTGTTTGGCAGTCACCAGCTGGAGTATATTGAGAAAGACAAAAAATGGGACATGATTCTTACATACTAATGGAGACAATCATTTTCAGGTATGTTCAGAATCATTTTAGTTACGTTGAGGTTTTAAATCTGCGTAATATAGATCAGTTACCATCAATAAATCTCCCCATCACTAGGAATTAGAGGAAACAAAACACTGTATGTTCCTATTGTGTAGGTAAGAAATGCTGGATCTTTTCTCTTGAAAGCTTCTAATGACATTTTTAAAGATAATGACCATTGATCGAGCTTTTAAAAACTAATCTGTGAACATAGCATAAATGCATTAAGATGCATTGGAGGAGAAAGCATCCCTTGTCGAGGGGTCACATCCACTGGAAGCCCTTTGTATTGTTAAGGTAGACAGACCATTCTGTAGTAAAAATCAGTATAAAACAATTGGTATAAAACAAATCAGTCACGATCCAGTGATAGATTATATTTGGTATCGAGGTAATTACATGTGTAATGACTGTAGAATTCATGAAATGTTGACTTTAAAGGAGGTTATTGAAATCTGTCTAACAGCAACATCTTGTTGTCATTCTGTCTTGTTTAAAGAGTTGACGATGGAAAAGCTAAAGTCATCCTCGTTTGTCATACAATGTAGTTGTTGGTTGACCCCAACCGTCTTTAGTCGGTAAAACATCCAAATATGAAACAGATGAGGCAGACTCTATTGTGTCTTTCATTCCGAGTTCAGCTGGATATAGTAAGCTGACAAATGCCACAACAAGTGTTTCCTCCTCTCATGTAGACCTTTTAAAGTAAATCAAGCTTCATAGGTATATATTTACATCCACTGAATATTTTCTTCTTTATTTCTTAAGAAAACCCATTGCGTTCATCACTGCATGAACTACATTAGGCATATCACCTGTACAGATTTCTTGATCAGTGGCCGTTCCATCAATGAAACGTACAAATACGTTCGCATCATTAACACAATAATTAATATTTTTAATCCTACTTAAAATGATAATGTATACAGATATAAATATAAACAATAAAATGTCTTTCTTTGTTTGTTATTACTGGAATGAACGGTCGCAGCTTTTGCAGAAAAAATTTACATAACCCGCTTACGCGGGTTATGTATTTTTTCTGCAACAACTGCTTCCGTTCATTCCAGTAATAACAAACAAAGAAAGCATTTTATTGTTTAATAAAATTTAAGGATAGTTTGTTGCAATACCTGGTCTCTAAAGACAATGTTAAACAACTTCAAGGAGTCCTTCCAACATCCTTTTAATTTCAATTTCGGAGTACGTGTGTATAGAATAAGTGTGATATTGGTAACAAGTTCAAGTTAAGTTTGATATTGGTAACGAATCACAAGATATGAAAATCTCCTAGTTCTACTCTTATTAAGGAAACACTTTTCCTTGATTTAATGAGTCTACTTCGTGTGAAATTTATGGAGATAATGAACAAGTATATCGGCAGTCCCGTTTAAAGTCATCATTTCGTAAGTTCTATGGTCGATACAATGGCCTTGTCAGCAAATACAATTTATCATTGAGTCAAATGCTGATTGACGTTTTTCAAACTAAATTTTAGTTCTTTATTTAAACACTGAATTGATGGATTTTTCCGTTCCGATCATGACAAGAACAAACGGCGGGTGTGACCGGTCGGCAGGGGATGGTCACTCCGCCATGGCACTTGATCCCACCTCTGATGTTTTTGAAGGTCCATGTTTGCTCTGCTCCTATTTTGTTTCGTTTATGGACTTTTGAACTTGAATATTTTTCGTTATCTCCATATATTTTATTGAAGCTCAGAAGTCCAATATAGAATACAAATCAGGAGCAAAACAAACACTGTCCTCTTAATCATCAGAGGTTGGATAAGGCGCCATGGATGACGAGCATTCCCTGCAACCGTCATCAAAAGAAAAAGGGTGTTTTAAAAATATAATTTACGAATTGGGTTTGAAAGTTACAACAATCAAATAACCAAAGGTGAGTTCGGTCTACCCTATGTATACTACTATTCCTAAACGTCATAAAACCTATACAAAGATAAACAGCAGGGTCCACCATACGCTCTAACAAAACCCCATCTTTACACCTTAAAATTATTCACTACCCTAAAGGAGAAATTTCATCTCAACAAAAGTAACATCAAAACACGTGAAACCATTTTGAAGAGTAAAGATGGGGTTTGTTAGAGCGTATGGTGGAGTCAGCTGTGTATCTTTGTATAGGTTTTTATGAAGGATAGGAACAGTAGTATAGATAGGGTGTATCGAACTCACCTTTGGTTATTTGAATGTAACAACTTTCAAACCGAATTTGTAAATATATTTTAAAAACATCCTTTTTCTTCTGATGACGTATGCTTTTCGTCTTCTTCATATTAAAAATTATTGAAAAAAAATAAACATATATGCTTATATATATAATGATATACCGACAAACTGTTGTGCATTTGAATTTTAGATTGTTTTTATTGATGTTGACTTTTGATGTCACTGCTTCCTATCAACCATATGTTGCGCCGTTCTTCTTCATGTGTAATTACCATGGTAACGTAAACGAATTAGGAGTAGAAAAAGGAGAAGTGGCCCTTAGTGTATCTATAGAGGGTAACCCAGATTTGTACATTCCTGGAAAACTTTATAATGGTGAGTACTTCAGTATGCAAAAACCATTTCAACGAAATACATGAGTGCATTTCTCTGTAAAGAAATGCTACTGAAGTAGTAGGCACAAGAACTGTTTACAGTAATTGAGTACATATATGATGCAGTCTAGTAAAGGATGGCAATTGAATATGTAGAATTTTATTTTAAAATCAAATACTGTGAGCTGAGTATTTGTTGTCCTAAAACAAAAAAGTTAGATGATCAGGAATCAACAAAATAGTCTGGTACTTAAAACAATTTATCAAGGGTTTATCAGATACATAGTCCATGACTTGCAATATAACCTATAAATAAATACATAAAGTAAAGACCAGAAATATACCTGGACATTTTTTTTGCTCCTCGATTTTCAGCAGACAAGCTCAGTCCATTTTTAATGAGCAAGGACGCCCCTTCCAAAAATCGTGAATTTTTTGTATTCTTGTTCTGGTGCTTTTGCATTTATTCTTTGAAAATCTTTATCTTTTCCCCTTTGTATTTAGCTGACATACTAAGTTCATCGTTATGCAGAGCAAGCGTCTGGTTTAATTGCAGATCTGTTGATGTCTTGTTCATGGCAACTGAATCAAGGATTGTGGTGCTAGAAACGGCTTATTATCATGTTGAAAAATTCATATTATTTATTTTTATGAAAGAAAGCTTTGTTTTAACATATAATGATTAATCACTGTCATACTGTAATTGATTAGTCATTACATATATATATATATTAATTAAATATACGATGTATATATATATTTTGTATTTAATATTTTGTAAAGTGCTTTTATAGCTTTTACTGGCAATCATGACGTAAAAAAGAAATAAATAAAAATGTGATAAAATACTTCCCGGATATGTTTTTATATAAAATGTTTTTTCGAAAAACAAGATAGGCCAATAGTATAACAGTTATTTTTTCTCTTCCACTTGCACAGATAAATATTTTTCATCATTATTATGTTGTGAATTCTTAAAATGTTAATAATACATGTATTGAGGTACTCAGGCGACTGTCCAAGCTTACAGATCTCTTTAAATTTTTTAACGAAAAATAATCTTAATTTTTAATGCACAGTAACTATCAGATCAACGGTGAATTTTGACGGATTTTTCCTTACGGGGCTTTACACACTTACATCAGAAGCCAAAGCTAGGATGCAAGGACTTGGTTTCCTAGGGAATACTGGATCTGGAAACAATTTAATGTGTTCAATCGTTCATTCCCACATAACCCGAGAACCACAGCAACAGCTGTCATTTATGTGGATGGCCCCTCCTAGCGGAACAGGATGCGTTAGTTTTCTGTAAGACCAATATCATGATATCAAAATTCTCACTATAAACGAAAAACCCATATATGAAGATTTTCCTCATATGAGGTTTTAGATTTTAAATAAACCCCTATGATGTAGAAATGTCAAATAAAATACATTATTCAATTGGTTTAAATTCAGGGCTACCGGAACACTACATTCACAATTATTGTTTAAAGACACAACAGTAATGCAGATGTGTGAGAAAGGAGGTAAGATTTTCTTTTAAGAAAAAAAAATAAATTAAAAATATTTTTGTTAAAAAAAATCATCAAAGTTTTATATTGGAAAGGAATAGATGTGTTTATTTAAATACTGTATTTATTTACCAATTATATAATGAAATTAGAAAGCTTCAATAGGAAGTCACACTCAGTCGGTTGAAGAAATATAAATACTGTAGTATAATACTTTCATTTTAAGCTCCAACAACCTCTCCCCTTAGACCAGAACTTGCCGTACTTCATGGAAATGGCGTCATATTAAGGGATGATTTTGATTCATCGCCAGATGTCAACATGCTTATTTGGTATATATATTTGTTGGATATAGTAATTGTTTTAAAGGTTAAAACCATTTAACCAAATGCTTTGAGGTTGTGTGTATCTGTTATGTTCTTGTGTAAATTAGTGGTGCAAGGTAAATGTGAATATAATATTATGATGTTAAATTTGTGGTATAAGGTAAAAATATTTTTAAAAAATATTATGACTACAGTAATATACTGTAAAATCACTTATTTTCGTGGGGTCAAATTTTTGTGGTTTGAGGAAAAAGTTTTGTTTCGTTGGGATTTGATTTCGTGGGTGAAGTATTGTGGATTAATGTGGAATAGAAATGTATGTTAAATTTTGCATTTTGTAGTGAACATAAATTTGTGGGTCTCTTCTTGCGACGAAAGCAACGAAAATTAAACCCTTAAGAAAATATGTGATTTCACAGTATTAACTTATCTGATTTCTTTCCTGTTTTAGGCGGGAGACACTGGGAGTTAATATTAGTCGAGATTGTGGTCACATATTGTATGGAGATTCTAGTTGGCTGTGCCAACGTTATGGTGAAAGGAAACTGGTGATTTTTTTTATTATATGATACATGAATAGCTAAATTTGACACACAGGTGTACAATTGTAATTCTATTGACACTTTGTTATTTTCTGTAGGTGACGGTACCAATGAATACAACTTCAGCTGCTGTCATACAGTTTGCTTTATGTAAGTCAGCTCTTTGTCCAAATTATTTTTGCACGTGTCGAATATACTTAAAGAAAATAATACAAACTTATAAGTTACCCTCCATTATTTTTTTGGGAGAAAAAAGCAAGTTATCAAAGTGATTTTTTGTTTTCTGAATAGCGACAGGAAGATGTCAAGTTTCGGGAACAACAGATTTTAATATCACAGTATCTTATGGACTACAGAATTGTACAATATGGACCACAATAGATTCTCTAAGGTAAACCATTATAATTCTGAACGAAATTCTATAGATAAGCGAATAAGATTTGGAACTTCACTGTCTTAATAGGATGTAAATTCTAAGTTTAATTGTTCTGTTATTGCTTCATTTTTGTTTTTCAACGTCGTTTTCTTGTCTTTCCCCCTTTCATTATACATAAGTGCAAGAAAAGTATTAAAATATGTATTCAAAGACAAATTGAAGAAGGGCTAACTATATTTTCAATTTTCTACAGAGAAAAAAAATATTTTTAAGCACTTGATTGTATACGCAAGTACATGTAATTTATTTCTCAAAAATACTTGAAGACGCCAGAAAGGACCAAACTTTTCATTACATAGGTTAGAATAACTTAGAAAAATAATTTTACACTTTAGTATACCGTCATCAGAAACAGAGGTCCACCTTGTAAACATCCCAAAGGAAGCTAGAGGGGAGGGCGTCTGTATGAAGTGGGAACAACTGTCTAGTAAACCAAAACCAAAGACAACAACAACAACAACGACGATTGCAACAACCACCGAATCATTGACAACAATGGAAACAACAACTGTGCCATTTCCAACCTTGGAGACAACAGAAAACCTAACAAGCACAGCTTCAACGACAACTACTACAACAACAAAAAGACCTCGCACGATACGATGGGATATTTCTGACGAAGGGCAGCCAGATTTCAGTAGTTGTTGGGGAATTGACAATGTGTTGGTTGTCAATATAGCTGATAAACCCAGTCGCATTGAAGAAAATTTTGATCCAGTTGACCCCAGCAACTGGCTTTTCTTTCCTGGAGGGAATATTAGGGTACATCTGTATTTTTGCACTTTTATAAAAAAGAAGAAAGAAAAGGAAATTCTTTCCAATGCTGTCATTTCAATATGATTTTGAAAATTATTTTGAAATATTTAAGAATTTTTCACATGGCGTTTATTTTTTTTCTTTTAGCAAAAGTGTCGATCTGAGGAAAATACTTTGTTCTTCAATATTGAAAACCAAACAGTTAATTACGCAGTAACACGTGATCTCGACCTATCAGTTTCTGATGTTACCCCGGATTTAATGCTAGAAGAACAGTTTGAATCAAAGAATCAACCAGGGTACGTTCTTTTAAAATTTTGTATCTTGACAAATGACTTTCAAAGAGATATTACATGTATTTCTGTTTACATATTTTGTTGGTTTTTTTAATCTCAGAAAGCAAACATGTACATGTATTATGCTAGATTTTGATATAGAAAAATGGGAAATTTTGTAGCTAATAAAATTGAATTTTGGGAGATATCTTCATAGAATTAAGAGCCATTCTATATAATGATTTGAAATTTTATATAGGAGCTGTGGCACGCATAGTCTCAGAATTTCTCCAAACTCTCTATGATAAAAGTCATTGATACCCTAAACTGAAATCAGGCAAAAATTGGTTGCTATGTTTTATAGTTACCATGACAACATGTCTTAAAGTTCGAAAAATGGCATTTTTTAACATGTTTAGAGCCCCATAGTTAACATTTGTGGCAAAGTAAACAATTGGCAATGACTGTTTCCAAAAGTTGAAGGTCAGATGTCTGAAATGCATGATAAACATGTTTGATAAATCAACTATCACATGCGTTACTATGGTAACAAAATATATAAAAGTGAAAAAAATATTCATTGAATTTTATAAAGTCAGACATGTAAAAATAAAAAGCAATTATAGGATGAAATGTGACCAAATAATAGAAAAAAGAGCCTTGAAACATATACCAAGAACAAAATATGATATTTCATTTTGGTTCACAAAGGTTGCCAAGGTTTTTATAACACAGAGGGCCTTCAAAGTAACACTCTGTATGTTTTAATCTGATCCTATCTTTTAAAAAAAGCACATTTCCTCAAAACTAATTATCAATTTTATAAGATGTTAGTGTGCTCCAAGTTTTCCAATTTGAAAAAATTCAGATTAGATTCTTTAAATAGAGCGTTGCTATGGAAATAAGCAGAAAATATATGCTTAAAAAACTGAAAAATATTTTCTTTCCTTGGATACGTACCCTTAAATGTAGATTCCCAAAACTTTTATGATTGATATTTATTAACAGCTAACTTGAATTTTAATTTTGACTATCATCCAATCTCTAAGTGGATGCAAGAAGTTGGCACACAGGGTTTAATATTGATATAAAGTTAACAAAATCGAACATTTTCCCTTCTTGGTAACCATAGCAACAGTGTTGTTTTCTTCATCAAATTTTATCAATATATGATATTCAACTTCAGTTCTAACAGATAAGTACTATACAAGCTGAGTCCTTTAATTTGTTTCTTGATTAAATGGAAATTTAATTCTTAATGCAGCGAAAAATAATTCACTTTTAAGCACTGGTACTTTGTTTCCATGGTAACACTGCAAAGTAGCAATTATACCCAATTTTTCTTATGGTTTTAGTGTTGCAAGGTCCTAAGGATGCATATTTGCCAGTTTTGAATTTTCATGTTTTTCCTCAAGACAGTAGCATTAACCCAATTTTAGTTACTGGTTTTGCATGGTTACAATGTGTTACCATGGCAACCATAAAAGTTATTTATAGAATAATATTGCTTTTACTTATATACTTAAGGTCAAGCATTTTCATTGTTTTTCTTAAGTCGTTGATTGAGTTTGAGCATGTAACACCTACCATTAGTGAATACGGAGTGTTTTTCAGCACATTTCAGCATTTTAAATGTATTCCAAATGTACCCTTGGTTACCACTTACTTAGAGATATATTCTTAACAGTTTCTTTACAGTATAAGTGACATCAAGGTGTCATGTTTTTTGTGAGAATGGTTTGTTTGCTTTTTCTAGTTTTTATTAAGCCACAGTCAAGATTTAAAGTGGCTGAAAATCTCATTTTTTCAAACGTTTCCGGCTGTTACCATGGCAACCGAGACACATAGCAACGAAATTTTGTTTGATATTTGTTTCTGGTGTCAAGTACTAAGCATGGGTGAAGTTTCATCAAAATCGGTGACCATGCGTGGCAACGAAGTTTAAGTGGTTACAGAGAATGGCTATTAAATTTGAATGATTTTTAAATCGCCAATTTTTAATAATATAAGAAGCACGATGCCCACATTCTTGCAAGAACTAATAACCGAGTCCAAACATGATGGTGCCTTGAAATTGTAGTAAGACAGTGGACACTTATACTTTAAGACAGTTTGAAAGGGATGTTTTTACAATGCCAGACACAAGATTTGAAAAAGAACCTGATGAAACCTTACAATTGAACATGATATTATTTTGTTTCTTTCAGCTGGATGATTCGAGGAGGTCGGGTTGATGTTATTTGTGGTGTTCTCTATCATGCTAACTCGATGGTGTTCGATGGAGCGGGAGAACGATGGGCCTGTACTCCGTATCTCGACACCAGATTGGCGGGAAATCTGAGGTTCTACTTTGGATTCGGTAGGTCGCGTAAAAACAAATTAAATAAAAACAAATTTCAAATTTCCTTTCAAGGAACTGCTAAATTTACATCAATGCCATTTACCTAATAGGCAGTGGTCGTTGCCAAGCCTTAGATTCTCCTGAAACAAATATTGAGGTTTACATCGAGGACAAGCATGGACATAAACCAGTATTAAATCTCACAAGTAGAGATTTTAAGGTAAACACACATTCTTTAAACTTCCAATGTCATGATTTATAAATGAATCCACTTCTTATAGTTTTCTTGATATTTGTTTTAAACGTGTACATCATTCTTTACTTACCTACTTAGGCCTCTTCATGTCAGGTGGCACATAAGACAGCCACAAAGTCCCTCCACTCAGTCCTATCTTTTGCTTTTGTTTATATCTACCTCCATGTCATCCCTATCTCTTTCAACTCTTTTCTCTGAAGTTCTTCGCCATTGTTTTTGGCCAGTCCCTTTCTCTTGCCATCATTAGATCACCTAATAAACATCATGCTAGATTCACTACTTCTTCTTATCCTCCAGGAACCAAGATTAATATCGGTACCTATAAACGGCCACCAAAGACAGTCTAAGGCGCGGATCTGCTGGGCTCAGGCGCACCATCGGGGTGTGGATCTCGACGTGTGGGCAATTGATGGAGTACAGGTCTTACCACACTTTCCCCGGAGGTCAGATGTGAATAAAATGGTACAGTTCGATCTTAATTTGAACTGTGGAAAGAATGCAACTAGAAATGTGTAAGTGTGAACTTTGAGAAAGTCGTGCAACCGAAGGACATGAACATGCATGGGCATACATATTGTCATATAATTAAAAATAATTATGAAGACATCGGTTAATCAAGAATGTTAGAATATTCCTTAACTTTAATATAGGTTACTGTAAACCAACTTTTATTCGCGTGCGAGAAATTTTCGCGAAGTTCGCGAGAACCTCGTCATCGCGAATATTTCTCTCTGCGAACCGGTCCTTATAGTATATTTGTCTATTAAAAACAGATTGAAAAAGACTTCATCACGAAAATTAATCGTCGCGAACTAGTTTATCCCTGGTTAATCGCGAAATAAAGTCGTCGTGAATAAAATTTGGTTTACAGTATATATCTTTTCAAGCTGGATAAAGTATATTCACTACTTTTTATAAATTAAAAAGTATGTTTTTTTAAAAATTACATACATGTTGTGTAAGACAAAAACGCTTTTTCAGCGTTGGTTTAGAAGCCTCTACAAATTTTGGGAAATCATGGTTCACAGTTCATGAACCGTGTCTCTATTACAAATGTGGCGGGAAGCATCAACCAGTGTCATCAGAATACGACAGCGACGACTTTTCAAGGTAATTCCCCATTTTCAAAAGTGAGTTATCTCCCCTCAAAATCGGAACTCTTCAACACTAGCATAACTTCCGCGGACTACATGTTACGATAATCCAACAAAATAGTGATCAACTTACACGCTGTATTTAAAAATTTTAAAAGAAGGAAACGGTTTGCATTTTTTTAGATAATAAATTATTTTATAAAGGGTCTGTTAGCCCCCCCCCCCCCTTTCTAGAAAACTATATGAATAGCCAGGCACGTAGCATCGTCTTTAAAGGGGGGGGTAGCCAAAGAAATATTTTTTTTGTTACCTGGAAAAGTTGGCAAGCAAAGAAAAACCTTGCCCAAAGTTGAAAAAGCTAATACTTATTTCAATACCAGTTCCTTGGCATACAATACTACATTTCCCTTATATAACTTTACCGTAGTATAACCTGAGTGTGTGTGTGGGGGGGGGGGGGGGGGGGTTGACAACCTGTCTATCAATGAACATTTTCAATAGAAAAAGTAATATTGGGAAAAAATGGGGGTTGGGCTAAACCCCTTGACCCTGCACCCCCCCCCCCCCCCCCCCCTCCGTGCGTACAGGTACAGAGAATATGTAAATGGGTTGAACAGTTGAAAATGAACCAAAGTTGTGAAAATTAATATTATTATTAGAATTTTTAATTGTGAATTCAATAAAATTACGGTACATATATTTTTTCCACAGATGTACATGTATGTCAGTTACACGGAGTCTCTCTCTCTCTCTCTCTCTCTCTCTCTCTCTCTCTCTCTCTCTCTCTCTCTGATATTGTTTATTTACACACTTTGCAAAAAAGAATAACTTATAAAAATAAATACATGTACTTACACTGACAGGATTTAAAAAAAATAAATAACACTTGAGAAAAGATTGTTTTCAGTTAATTAACGAGAAATACGCTAGGAAATTATTGTATCAATTTCGTGTTTCTGCTCTCAATTCTCTGATCTAAAACAAAATGTGTATTTTACTCGGGAATATACATGTACATATGCTTAGATCCTACACTAAAACTTTGATTAAATGCAGTTCAGACTTTATACGACATATGTAACACGAATTTAGGTCGATGCTATTTTAATTAGTCTTTCTTCGTTACATGAGCACATGAGATTAAATTATTCATTTAGAATTCCATTCAAAGTTTTAATACTAAATAGTGAATCAATTATTTTACAAATAGAAAATTCTAGAAACACGGTTAATTCAAATGAAATAGGCTTTTAATTGTCACCAAATGTGTTCTTGTAAGTAAAAGTTCTATGTTATGACATACAATCGAGCAAAAACGCAGTTTCTTGGTATCGGTAGCGGAAGACGAACTACTGCTGTATATGCAGCAATTTCAGAGGTAAAACTGTAGATGGACATGTCATCAGTCTTCAAAAAATTCCTAGAGATACAATGAAAATATGGCTGCACAGGCTAGATTAATTCGTCAAAACTTTATAACTAAAAATTTGTTCCGCACATTTTGTAAATAATGATGATCCGTCTGCAGAACATCCACTACCGAAAATTAGCTTTTTTGTTTGTGTTTTTTTTTTAATAGGCCTATTCGAATATGTATCAGCATTTTAATAGTAATTTGTTTCTTTTTTTTGTAAGGGGGGGGGGGGGGGGGGTCACACAGCACCTTATTATAGTACTACACAGATTAATACAAATCCAGAAAGAGACTATGAGTGGCCAATTTAAAAAAAAACACGAATCAGTTAAGATTTCTTTTTATTCACAAACACAATAACATTTTTCCATGTGACAGAGGCATACACCATGAACATGTTTACATTGAGAACGTCCGCGGAAGTGACTTTATTTATAGCGCATGCGTATTAAACACAGTAAAAGAGTTCCCTTCAGGGGAAATAACTCACCTTTTGAAAATGGGGAATATGGTTTACTTCATTCTTGTTTCAGCTGTTTGATTTCATTTTGAGATAATTATACGTTATGCAGATTATTAATTAGATTTTCGGTACTCTTGTTTGAAAAACATTAGTAGATAAGAGATACTCTGGTCCGTATGACGGAATCAACGAGGAATACTTTGACTTTTTGGTCGTCCTCGTTATTCATGTATCTGTTTGGTCAAACATGTTTTTACTTTTTTAAATTTAAAGACCAATGCAATTATTTTTCATCATCTTTGCTTGAAATACTTACAAATCAAATATATGATAAAAAACATACGAATTTTCGAAGAATTTTGATTCGTATTTATTTGACATTTATTTATCGCCTTCAGTCAAGTATTCTTTAATCGGTCATTTTCACAGTTGGAAGAGAGTAAGTTCACCTCTTCCATTTGCTGCTCTGGTACCTCATGTCAGATTTCGATGGAATGGAGAACACCAAAATACGCCTAATTGGGCTTTAGACAACGGTAAGAACAAAAGAACCTTCTTGGCTAACAATCGGATAAAAATATGACATACACATGTATTAATTCAAATGTCGTATTTTAAAATATTTACTAGTAATGTTTTAGAAACTACTGATTTAGAAATATTTACTAATTAAATTCCTTTCCATATATAATTTTAAAATATGCTTTATTTCAGTATTTATTGGAGACTGTGAAAGCGGATGCCATGGAAATGGACAATGCACAAGAACAGGATGTAGGTGAGAGATTTTACATTACTTGAAAGTACAGCAGTAGTTTTTTCTTCTTTAACACAAAGTACTACCAGTAAGTAATTTACAGTACTGATGTCTAAATTCTTGTAACTAATTTCACTCAACGTTTCCTTTATACTGAACTCAGAAGAAAATATTCTCTTAAACCCCTTTTATGACATTATTCTTCAACCTGTACCATATTCAACACCTTGTAGAACATGATGTGTAGAGAAGAAGAGCATTATTTTTTTAAGATGTTGTTTTCCACACTATTCTAGATATTCTTGAATCTCGAAGCTCTCATATCCCTAATATATTAACATATCGTCGGGTAGAATAGTCCCCGCGGGTAGTGAATATTTGTCACTACATTTTATCATCCATCCGCCTTTTGCAAAAACCATTTGATGTCGGGAGGATAATATATAGCAAAGTACATGTACTTTGATAAGACGTGTTTGAATAACAAGAATGCATACAAATTCAATTATTTAATAGTAAATTCATGTAAAAATATATAAACAAGGGGTTTAACTGTGTCCAGGTAAGAGATTCCATAATCAGTACAATTCTCTATGGGCGTGTGCCCACAGCTTGAGTATATGGAGACACACATGTTGTACTGAACTCGTTCCAAACAAGACCAGACGGGCAAGACAAAACATAGGCGTCTCCGGCGATGTCACACTGGATGAATTTGGATGGGTCGGGATGTGAGAAAAACTGGGAGTTTCCAGTGGTGACAACAGCGTTTTTACAAGGGTTTGTTGTGACCCCGGTACCTAAAAAATTTAAGTTGACGGTCTTACACCCTTTTTTATATTGAAAAAAGATTACTAAGGATGTACTCTTTCTAAGTAGGAAAAATGTATTTATTAAATCTACTAACTTCTGCATTAAGACCGAATTTAAAAAGAAAAATGAATAATCTAAAAGATATGGAAATTTTCTTTGTCGTTAAAATATTTAGAATATATGATTCAACAATGATTTTGATCGAAAGATTGTAAAAGGAAACATTGCAGAACATGACAACATACTTGGTAAAATGGCGGTGTTTGGTGTGGGTAATGGCTGACCGCTCTGGAAGCTGTAAACACATGAAAGACGTGTCTGATCCCACACCAGCAGGGAAGGACAAGTCAGCTGGTTGGCATTTCCCAACAGGTCACACTCAATGAATTTATGAGTGTCGCCAGCGATTGCGAAGTACAAGTTCCCGCGAGCGATGTTTTGCTGTGTGCAAGGGTTGCTGCCGAGAGCCACAGTTATTTGTCCCCCACCTGTTCCATGTGGAATAAAGTTCTGAAAAAAGTCAAAATACGACGTAGTTAAACATGTTAAACGCGAGACAAAAGGGAAGGTCTTTCTAATTCACTTAAACTAGATACTATAATTGTAATATTTAGCGTGTACGACATTTGGCAGAAATTGATTTTCGAACAAATTAGCGTAAATTTGATTTAGTGCATTTCTTAATGTTCTTATTAACTTATATATGTGTAAGACATTTAGCGTTGAACTTGAATTAGTCGAAGTTTCTTTCCGCCAAAAACACTGAAAAGAATACACAGCCAAATGTAATATGTTTACAGTATTGCAGTCAAAATATAGCACAAATTTTGCAATAACCTTTAGCGCGGGTATTTAGTGTAGTGTAGAATATGTCAAAAATTGAAAAAAAAGGTAACAATGAAGACGAATCATCGATTGCAAACGATGAGATATATAGCTTAAGCATTGAGAGTTGTTTCATTTTTTGTGCTTTTGTTTTGATTCTTTTTTTCTTGATGAATACAACGCAGTCATAAACATTTTTCATTGTTTAATTCAATGACTCTCTTTTATTAAAAAGAAAAATTGAACGAAAAGTAACTTTTTATCACCTTTGCAAGAAAAGGATCTTTTACATACTACAATTAAGCAAAGGAAGTGGGAAGAAATGTTTTAAAATTTGAGAACAAAAATGATCTTCAATATAATGTACTTACCCTTGACACACAGGATACAGTTGCAGGGTTATAAAGCTTTCCAGAGGGACACTGGATAATGTACATCTCTCCCAGAGCATTGCACTGAATGAATTTTGTGTTGTCGTTCGGATGAGGGTAGAACACTTGGCTGGTTGTCTTACTGGCAGTGCACGGGTTGGCGGCCTGAAAGTCTATGAACAGGAACAATATAGTTTTAATTTGATAAAATAATAAACTACAGTATATTAACTGTACTCTTTGAATGATAAAGAATCGATAATTATCAACTTACTGCAGTGGTTCATCCCAAGGTTGAGCTGTCGCTTTTCTGTAAAAGAGGAAAATCTAAAATTGTATTATTTGAAAATACTGCAATTCTTAATTTCCTTATCGTATTAACATCAAGTAAAAATGTCTAAAGATTTCTCAGAAATCTAAAACCTTAAAAAAATGACAACTGTTTAGAATTGTTAACACAAGAATGAGCACCTCTTCCTGGAGCAGCGCAAACAACCCCAACAACAACCAAAAAACAGAAAGCCTTCATTTTGGTCCCGTCTGATTCCACTGTGACATAACTTGCCAAAACACGGGTATATATAGTACGTAAGTGCATGCCTCACCAGACAGTCAATAAAGAAAAAAAGGCTTGATAATCTCAGAAGTTAAAAAAAGTTCAGTTATAGAGGGTTCTTATTTTTGGTTTTAGATAATGGAATAAGGAGTATTAAGTAAATTCTGTGCATTATGCAACACTTTAATTTATTCCTTGTTTTAAAAAATATTTCATAATGTTGCTGGCAATAGTTATTTTTCTTATATTAGATAGGGAGTCATTGCTTGACTTGAATTTTTCCAATAACATATATGCATCTTGTAAAATCTATCTAAATGTTATTAACATCGTTTTGAAATATATGCACTTTTTGCAAAAAATACTGAATGGCAAATATCCCTTTCTTTAGTATTTTGAGTTATTCCCTTCCAAAAATACACGACATGACGGTGAGTGAAAAGTTGCACAAATTTTCCCGTACAAAATCTGTCATCAGGAAGCAAAACAAAGAGGACGATGAAAGAGTTCACGATTTGGTAATTAAATGGTTTATGCCTCGACACCTTATGTTTAGGGATGTTGCCTTATCTACAAGGCTTCAAACTCCTGCTATATTTGTACAAGGTGTATTTGACAGCGCGGTTTAATGTGGCGTATTTGATATAACATACTGATTAAACAAAAACTAAGTCTTTGTTTGGGAGAAAACGACATTCAATAAGGATGTGATGACTTTGGATAGGCGACGTGTCTTTTTTTTTTTTTTTAATTTCATTTTGTAGTCTTTTCATGTGTTTTAATTATAGAATTGTTACACACATTTATTAAAAAAAAAATAATATGTATGCAATTAATAACAGAAACTTATTCCATATCAAGGTCATTTTCATCTTTTCTCTTGTTCATATTTAAAAGGAATAGTGGTACATATTTTTCCCTTGTGTCTTAAAATGATCAAGGCTCTGATATATATGTAATAACATTAACTATTGGCATATTTAAAAAAATACCCTGTGACAAGTTCAGTCATACTTGACACCACGCATCCTTGTGTAAAGGTATTTAAGTTTGTTCAAACGAAGAACCGAGCCAAAGTAATTTTTTGAAAACTGATGACAGCATTTAGAAATAAAAGGAAAATAATGTCGTTAAAATTATGAAAAATTCTCACAATGCGAAACAAAGAATTTATTATATACAAATATATAAGATATTATATAAATTCATTAAGTTCTTCATACGGTTTTATTTACAGATGTGACTTTGGTTACACTGGTTTGACTTGTGAGATTCCAGTAGTAGCACATTTAGTGACCTTGATGGAACAGTTCGTAGATGAGTCGTCCTTGATCTCCAGTAATGCCCTTCATATTAAGGGCGCTTCTCTCAGCTACAGATGTGGAGTATTGTCTTCTGGAAAATCACTGGTGTTTGACAAGGATGGTCCCCGCAGACTAGTAACAGCTGATTTTAACACGACAAATAACCGGTACTTTGTATTTGTACTATGAAATAACTTATTATCATGGAGTGTTGTCCCCATTATTATTGTGATATCAAACCAGAAGTCTCTGTCGAGACTGTAGCTCTACTGGTTTGTACTTATCAAAAACCATTGCACTATTTTATGTATCTTTGTGTAGTCTACTTGTGTGCCAACGTATTTTGGAATCAATCTAAAACTGTAGAAGGAGTAGCGTTTTTAAGGAATTTCACAGAAATTCCTATTTTTAGTAACCATGGCAACACGGTTCATCGAAATTAAAAACCGATGCACTATTCTATGTATCTTAGTGTAGTCTACTTGTGTGCCAAGTTATATTGAAATCAGACCAAAACTGTAGAAGGAGTAGCGTTTTTAAGGAATTTCATAGAAAATTCTATTTTTAGTAACCATGGCAACACCGTTCATCGAAATTAAAAACCGATGCACTATTCTATGTATCTTAGTGTAGTCTACTTGTGTGCCAAGTAATATTGAAATCAGACTAAGATTGTAGGAGGAGTAGCGTTTTGAAAAATTGTTTACAGACAGACGGACAGACAGACAGACGGACGGACGCCGGACGCATTACTATCGCATAAGCTCTTCTGGTCTCTGACCAGTAGAGCTAAAAACCCACTGATTCATGTCCTCCAAAAATTAATAAGTTCCCCTTCCACGAAATTAAATCTGTACAACCAATAAGTTTTCTTAACCTTGAAACGTTAACGTTGTCCCCTCGAAAATATACCCATTTCAGCAAGTTTTTGTTAGCTCTGCTGGTCAGAGACCAGAAGAGCTTATGCGATAGTAATGCATCCGTCGTCCGTCCGTCTGTCTGTCTGTCTGTCTGTAAACAATTTTTAGCTCACCTGAGCCAAAGGCTCAAGTGAGCTTTTCTGATCACATTTTGTCCGGCGTCCGTTTGTCCGTCTAGCTGTCCGTCTGTCCGTGTGTCTGTCTGTCTGTCTGTCTGTAAACTTTTCACATTTTCGACTTCTTCTCAAGAACCGCTGGGCCAATTTCAACCAAACTTGCCACAAAGTATCCTTGGGTGAAGGGGATTCAAGTTTGTTCAAATGAAGGGCCACGCCCTCATTCAAGGGGAGATAATTGGGAATTAATGAAAATTTAGTGGTATATTTTAAAAATCTTCTTCTCAAGAACCACTGTGCCAGGAAAGATGAAACTTATGGGGAAACATCCTCAGGTAGTGTAGATTCAATTTTGTTCAAATCATGACCCCCGAGGGTAGGGCGGGGCCAAAATGGCCGACCAAAGTTTTACATAGAAATATATAGGAAAATTCTTTAAAAATCTTCTTCTCAAGAATGACAAAGCCATAATTCATCATATTTATATGGGAGCATTCTCATGTAGTGTAGATTCAAGTTTGTTCAAATCATGACCCCCAGGTAAGGGCGGGGCCAAAATGGCCGACCAAAGTTTTACATAGAAATATATAGGAAAATTCTTTAAAAATCTTCTTCTCAAGAATGACAAAGCCATAATTCATCATATTTATATGGAAACATGCTCAGGTAGTGTAGATTCAAGTTTGTTCAAATCATGACCCCCGGGGGTAGGGCGGGGCCAAAATGGCCGACCAAAGTTTTACATAGAAATATATAGGAAAATTCTTTAAAAATCTTCTTCTCAAGAATGACAAAGCCATAATTCATCATATTTATATGGAAGCATGCTCAGGTAGTGTAGATTCAAGTTTGTTCAAATCATGACCCCCGGGGGTAGGGCGGGGCCAAAATGGCCGACCAAGGTTTTACATGGAAATATATAGGAAAATTCTTTAAAAATCTTCTTCTCAAGAATGACAAAGCCATAATTCATCATATTTATATGGAAGCATGCTCAGGTAGTGTAGATTCAAGTTTGTTCAAATCATGACCCCGGGGGGTAGGGCGGGGCCAAAATGGCCGACCAATGTTTTACATGGAAATATATAGGAAAATTCTTTAAAAATCTTCTTCTCAAGAATGACAAAGCCATTATTCATCATATTTATATGGAAACATGCTCAGGTAGTGTAGATTCAAGTTTGTTCAAATCATGACCCCCGGGGGTAGGGCGGGGCCAAAATGGCCGACCAAGGTTTTACATAGAAATATATAGGAAAATTATTTAAAAATCTTCTCAAGAATGACAAAGCCATAATTCATCATATTTATATGGAAGCATGCTCAGGTAGTGTAGATTCAAGTTTGTTCAAATCATGACCCCCGGGGGTAGGGCGGGGCCAAAATGGCCGACCAAGGTTTTACATGGAAATATATAGGAAAATTCTTTAAAAATCTTCTTCTCAAGAATGACAAAGCCATAATTCATCATATTTATATGGAAGCATGCTCAGGTAGTGTAGATTCAAGTTTGTTCAAATCATGACCCCCGGGGGTAGGGCGGGGCCAAAATGGCCGACCAATGTTTTACATGGAAATATATAGGAAATTTCTTTAAAAATCTTCTTCTCAAGAATGACAAAGCCATTATTCATCATATTTATATGGAAACATGCTCAGGTAGTGTAGATTCAAGTTTGTTCAAATCATGACCCCCGGGGGTAGGGCGGGGCCAAAATGGCCGACCAAAGTTTTACATAGAAATATATAGGAAAATTCTTTAAAAATCTTCTTCTCAAGAATGACAAAGCCATAATTCATCATATTTATATGGAAGCATGCTCAGGTAGTGTAGATTCAAGTTTGTTCAAATCATGACCCCCGGGGGTAGGGCGGGGCCAAAATGGCCGACCAAGGTTTTACATAGAAATATAATATATATAGAAAATTCTATAAAAATCTTCTTCTCAAGAACCACTGTGCCAGGAAAGATGAAACTTATATGGAAGCATGCTCAGGTAGTGTAGATTCAAGTTTGTTCAAATCATGACCCCCGGGGTTAGGGCGGGGCCAAAATGGCCGACCAAGGTTTTATATAGAAATTTATTGGAAAATTATTTAAAAATCTTCTTCTCAAGAATGACAAAGCCATAATTCATCATATTTATATGGAAGCATGCTCAGGTAGTGTAGATTCAAGTTTATTCAAATCATGACCCCTGGGGTTAGGGCGGGGCCAAAATGGCCGACCAATGTTTTACATAGAAATATATAGGAAAATTCTTTAAAAATCTTCTTCTCAAGAATGACAAAGCCATAATTCATCATATTTATATGGAAGCATGCTCAGGTAGTGTAGATTCAAGTTTGTTCAAATCATGACCCCCGGGGGTAGGGCGGGGCCAAAATGGCCGACCAAGGTTTTACATGGAAATATATAGGAAAATTCTTTAAAAATCTTCTTCTCAAGAATGACAAAGCCATAATTCATCATATTTATATGGAAGCATGCTCAGGTAGTGTAGATTCAAGTTTGTTCAAATCATGACCCCGGGGGGTAGGGCGGGGCCAAAATGGCCGACCAAGGTTTTACATAGAAATATATAGGAAAATTCTTTAAAAATCTTCTTCTCAAGAATGACAAAGCCATAATTCATCATATATATATGGAAGCATGCTCAGGTAGTGTAGATTCAAGTTTGTTCAAATCATGACCCCCGGGGGTAGGGCGGGGCCAAAATGGCCGACCAATGTTTTACATAGAGATATATAGGAAAATTCTTTAAAAATCTTCTTCTCAAGAATGACAAAGCCATTATTCATCATATTTATATGGAAGCATGTTCAGGTAGTGTAGATTCAAGTTTGTTCAAATCAAGACCCCCGGGGGTAGGGCGGGGCCAAAATGGCCGACCAAAGTTTTACATGGAAATATATAGGAAAATTCTTTAAAAATCTTCTTCTCAATCATTTTCTAAAAAATAGCAAATCCATGATTGGTCATGGGACTACTTTTGGATTTAAACTTTACAATAAAAAGCCATTTTATACTAGTCCTACCCTTGGTGCTCAGGTGAGCGATGTGGCCCATGGGCCTCTTGTTCAAAATGCTACTCCTCCTACAGTTTTGGTCTGATTTCAATATAACTTGGCACACAAGTAGACTACACTAAGATACATAATTCTGTGCATCGGTTTTTGATTTCGATGAACGGTGTTGCCGTAGTTACTAAAAATAGAAATTTCTGTGAAATTCTTTCAAAATGCTACTCCTCCTATAGTTTTGGTCTGATTTCAATTTAACTTGGCACATAGGTAGACTACACTAAGATACATAGAATAGTGCATCGGTTTTTGATTTCGATAAACGATGTTGTCGTGGTTACTAAAAATAGAAATTTCTGTGAAATTCTTTCAAAATGCTACTCCTCCTACAGTTTTGGTCCAATTTCAATATAACTTGGCACACAAGTAAACTACACCAAGATACATAATTCTGTGCATCGGTTTTTGATTTCAATAACGATGTTGCTGTGGTTACTAAAAATAGAAATTTCTCTGAAATTCTTTCAAAATGCTACTCCTCCTACAGTTTTGGTCCGATTTCAATATAACTTGGCACACAAGTAGATTACTTTAAGATACATAATTTTATGCATCAGTTTTTGATTTCGATGAACGGTGTTGCCGTGGTTACTAAAAATAGAAATTTCTGAGAAATTCTCTCAAAATGCTACTCCTCCTTCAGTTTTGGACTGATTTCAATATAACTTGGCACACAAGTAGACTACACTAAGATACATAATTCTATGTATCGGTTTTTGATTTCGATGAAGGGTGTTGCCGTGGTTACTAAAAATAGATATTTCTGTGAAATTGTTTCAAAATGCTACTCCTCCTAAAGTTTTGGTCCGATTTCAATATAACTTGGCACACAAGTAGACTATACTAAGATGCATAATTCTGTGCATCGGTTTTTATTTTGATGAGTGGCAAGGATCATTTTCCTATTTATTGCTGATTTAAAGTCTCAAGTCCCAACTGCTACTTTTCTCTTCCTTTGTTATAAGTATAAACCATTAGAGCTACAGTCTCGACAGAGACTTCTGGTTTTTGAATTTGAACTACCAAGAACAAAATATGTAAAAATCGCCAGTTAAATTTCCTTACAATGTTTAGAAAGCTTGCATGAATAAACATTTACTACGAAAATAAAGAATATTTTGAGAATGGGATTTTTTTTTCATTTTCCTGTATAATATACTTTTATGTGAGAAAATGAAATGATGTACATCTTATTTTTCTAATATTAAAGGTACATCCAGTTCTTCATAAGAATAGGAAGCCACTCCATGACTTCAAAATGTCCTCCACCAACACATGAGAAGGAATCCGTTGTTTTAGATTTTTCATGTAATGGAGGACTTACATGGGATCTAATCAAAGTTTTTGATGACATCAGGGAACCACAGTAAGTTCTAAAATTTAAAGAAGACAGAATAGAAATTTGGTATTGAAAGGTTCATATCATACGAGTAAACAAATGTTATAATCTTAATTCACGTAATATTCAGATCTGAAATAGTTATGTTGCCTGACGAAGCACGAGGTCCTGCATGCAGATTTAGATGGTGGCAGCCAGTTCACTCCGGGAGCGGGAAAGATTTGTGGGCTATTGATGGCATAAGTATTAACGACCACCTGTTTAACACTATCAGTCTAGACATGGAGGACTTCAAAAACGATTCCCGCCAGCTGATAACCAACCTTGGTACATTGTCCCAAAGCTATTGCGGAAGCAGAACCAGTATGAGGTATCGTTTGATTCAATAAGACAGGGTATCAGTCAAATAAACATACGTTTAATAAAGTTTAATAGAAAGCTAATTCTTTTCTTTCAGTTTCATTGAGCCTTGGCAGAAGGGAGAAATGCGGTACATTGAGACTATGCCTGTTCATGTTGGCCCTACATACGTCATTGAGTTCGAACTCGTTATGGCATGCCGAAACATGTACTCGATGGATCGTGACAATCTTCTGTATTTAGAGTATTCCACTGACCATGGTTTAAGCTGGCGATTGCTTGAGGAAACTTGTACCCCGCCCACTACGTGTCAATCATACTCTGAGGGTACTGTGTACCACCCCTCCAAATATCAGACGTGGCGGCAGGTTACAGTGCCAATGCCTCCAACAACATGGTTCGTACAAGAGTGGCACTCTTTTCAAAAACTATCTTTACACCTAAAACTAGGCTACTTTGTTCTTAACAGATGTTTTAGTAAATTCTCGATAGAATATTTCAATTTTTTTTAAAATATGAATGAAATTTAGCAATTTGGTTCCCTCGTGATTGCCACTCACTTTTCTTTTCCGTGTTTCTCTTTTGTCTACCTTTCATAACACTTAAAAATGTTTGCTAAGAAAATTAATTATTATTCTACTTTTTATCTCGATTAGATAAGATAGCAAATGAGCAGTAAATGATTGGATTTGATTTATGCAAGAGAAATGAAACCGTTGTTAACATGTAAGACATAGAAATGGCAAATACGTACTTTTAACATGAATTACTAGAAATAAGTACAATATATAAACATAATTATATATAAGATTTAAATCATGGAAATCAGACAGTAGGGACAACAATTCAAATAGAAGAGTGGGTCCCCCGCAAAAGTCATTATAAAAGCGAATCTTTTTGGCATAGTAGTCATGTAAACGTACAAAATGGTACAAACACAGAAAGTTTCAATCGCGTAATAAGAATGGAAAAACATTTCTTACTGAATTTCTACTCGAATGTGTTCTTAGAATCCTTTAAGTTAGCTTTCATAGGCTACTAGATTGCCATTTACTAGAAAAACATATTCTTAGAATCCTTTAAGTTAGCTTCCATAGGCTATAAGATTGCCATTTACCAGAAAATCATATTTATTTGATAAATATTTTTAAAAAAATTCATTAAGCCTTTAGTTGTTTAAAAATGCCTTATGAATTCATTGTCCTGTAGAAATTTTGAGAAGGATAAAAGAGAATATTTTGGTACGGTGCCATTCCGTCAAAATGTATTCCCTGTTAGATTTCAAAATCATTTTTATTAAAAATTAAATTGTACAACAATTATGATAAGGAAAGTAAAATGTAGTCTAAACATCTTAATATGTAAGCAAATATATGTATTGAGTATTTCATTTAGTAAACATACAAGAATCCCTAAGAAAATATTCAAGATAACCCTTGATTTTAAAAAAAATAAATGCTTTTTTGGAGAATAGTGCGATATTACAGAAATAATTCAAAAAAATCATTTAAACAGATACAATAAAATGAACCATACTTACACCATGCTAAAAGAACGTACAAAAAGTTCGTACATTGTTTTTAATTCAAAGTCTCTTACATTGGTGTTTTAAGATATGACATCAATTTCAGTACTATTTAGTCTTGTTCTAGGTCTATTTACTTTGAAAATTCGTTCAAGAATGTTACGCAATTGTAATTTAATCTGTCGGTTTAAAATTGAATAAACAAATGTGTTAACCGAATAATTTAACATTGCGAGATAAAGTGAGATCATGTGAATCCAAATACTTATTCCACTCACACTAGGATCTGCGAAACAAAAAATAAGATACGGGAGATTCAAGACAAAAAAGAGTGAAATTAGCACTACTGTTGATCGACGTACTTGTTTTTCATTCTTTTGTCGCTGAGCATTTTCGAGCTGCATTGCGTTCACTCGTTTGTTGCTCAATTTTATTTTCCGCAGAATTTCAATGTAACAAAATAAGATAGTTGGAAAATATAAAACGAATGACGAGCATATAGCAAAATATCGAAATGCATCATCCCTGGAGATAAGCGGACTGCAAGTAAGTCTCAGTTGGTCGAACTTGAATTTTCCCCAAGCCTCTGTCAGGGGAAGAAAAAACACTGCAGGAGCAGAGAGCCATGTAGATACTAAGATGATCCTTGTGTTACGAGGTCTGTAAATGGCTTCATAATGCGTAAATCGTACAATAAGTACATAACGATTTAAGGATATTAACGTTATATTCGTCAAAAATATTCCAAGCAAACTATAAAGAATAAATCCAGAAACAGCGCAGCTTGGACCACTTTGAAAGGTTGAGGAAAACGCAGGCAAAAGAAACACTGGAAAACCCACGGAACTGATCAGAAAATTTCCCACAAACAGATTCAACATGAATGTGAATGTTTTCTGTCGATGAAGTCCGCTTTTTATAATCACAACTATGGCAGTTAGGTTTGTAATAGTTCCCACTGCAGAAAGGGATAAGGTTATGATTTTGTGCAGTGTTAAATTCCACGACACCTCGGACCCATAACTTTGTACATTACTTATATTCAACAAAGACATATTTCTCTTACTAGATGCGAATAATAAATTTTAAGGATTTTTATATATTTACCCTGTAGTTCGTTTGAGAAAAAAAAAAGAAAAGAGAGAAAATTAATTAAGATTGATATTGTAATGTTCATGTTTTCCTCAACTGATGACTGATTCCGTTTATTGATATTTGTCGCCAAATAACTTTGATCAAACAGAAATGGTCTTTGTAGCTTATTAAAACATAGGAAATTTCAGTCCATATCTCTTTATTCTCTAGATTACAAGACGCAGAGAGTTTCTATTCGTTAAGAGTCCTTTATCTTTTTTTCAATTATTTTAATCACATTTCCTCGCCGAAATATGGCTTACATATATTGCCAACTCTGTGCTAAACAATAACAATTGATCAATCAATCAATCAACCAAATTACCTTGGAGTAATTTGCATATCATAATCAAGTCTCTCAAGATGTAAGTTCTGAGAACATTTTGAGAAACATAATAATGTAATTTTACACTTGAATAGTGTTTAATGTATATACTTTACATATTAATTAGACTAGTAATCAGAGTTGCTAAAAGTCTTTGTGGCTCATTGATTGTCTTTTCATTTAATTAGGGGCCATGTTGTAACCATGAGATTGCGACAGTCGGAATGGGGTCCACTGGACACGTGGGCAGTCTCCAGAATATATGTTGGTCAACATTGTCCCCAACACTGCAGCGGTCACGGGAAATGTGAAGAGGGCGTGTGTAGGTAAATTGTCCAGTCATACATGTACGCATATTAAGGCATAATATTTGAATTTGCAAATGTTTTCCTTTATATGCAATGCGTATCTAAAACTATAATACCGGTACGGGGTCAAGAGGTCATAGATGTGCGTATGGATAAACGTTCGACGTAGTTTCTCAGTGACATAAAGGGTCGACGCGCGTTCAGTGGATTACATACACCTGTACATGCCACTGGGTTTGTAAATAATGCATTTCAAACGTTAAAAGTCACAATCAGGCAAATAGAAAGTATAAATAAGTCACAAATGTAAATATAAGTAATAAAGTATCATTTTAAAACATCTATCGGACTATAATTACATTTTTTCGCGTTACGAAGTATAGCGAAAAATAATTGTCCTGACGACATGTAAACGAATACGAAAGTGTGGTGTTACTAAGGTAAAATTGTTATGTAGGTTTCAGCCAATGAAATGTCAGTATTGAGAAAACGTGTTCGATTGTATCTACGGGTGGTTAGTAAGAGTTCACTTTCTAGAGCACGCTTTCCCGAGCAAGTCGTGTTTTCGGTCATGGACGCCAGGCAGATACAGGGTGCAATTTCTGAAGAAGTTAATCGAGTTGTGTCGCGTCAACAGTCGGAATTATTGGACAATCTGAAAGATATGATGGACAGTCGTCTGACGGCGTTTCAGCAGAATATTCAACAAATTTCAACTTCCCAGATAAGTAAAATAGAAGAAAATCTTAATGAACATTATGTTTTCCGAAAAAAAGGAAACGAGAATCAATATAAACATGAGGCAAAAGTGCTAACAAAACTGAAGGAAGCAAGGGAACATTTGAACAGCGATGACGGTGTAGATTTAGCCAAAAGCAGCATAAATGAAGGTATTGAGCTGGTTAAAAATCGCCAAAAAGTCATTAAGTTAGCAGATTCGTCGCAGCTTGGTTGGAGAGTGGTTCAAGAGTATGAAGCCAATCCGATAGCAGACGATTCAGACGATGAGAAAAAGATGTACAGAGCGCAGATGAGGGCAGAGAGAAAAGTTTTCAACGGGAAGAAGAGATCTAGATTCGAGCCTTATCAAAAGAAACCGGCAACGGTTACTCGCATGGAGACTGACGAGAAGTCAACAGGCAGTGGAAAACCCGGCAAGAATCAGCAAAACGTTTAACTGGTAGACCGGTGCGCAGGAAAGATCCAGTCGACCGGCAGATGTTACAAGATTTGTGTGATTTGTATACTGACAGTACAGATGTTCTTTTATTGAGAAATTTATCTATGATTTTGATAGCTTTTGCTGGTTTTTTGAGATTTGATGAACTGAGTTCTCTGAAATGTAATAATATCACTGTTGAAGAAAATTATTTAAAAATTTTTATTGAAAAATGCAAAAACGATCAATATAGAGATGGAAATGAAGTACTTATTGCAAAAGGTATCACAAGTGCTTGTCCATATGCTATGTTTCTACGTTATACAAAAGAGGCGGAAATTGATTTATGTTCTGATCATTTTCTTCTTAAGCCCGCTTTCAGAAGTAATGGTTTTTCAAAATTGATATTTAAAAACAAGAAGCTTAGTTATACTGCAGCAAAGCAAAATATTGTTACTCTTTTAAAAACGGTAGCTCCAAATTTAAATATTGGTCTCCATTCTCTCAGATCAGGGGGTGCAACTGCTGCTGCAAATGTTGGTGTTAATGAAAGGTGTTTACAAAGGCACGGGCGATGGAAATCGGTGTCTAGTAAAAATGTTTATGTCAAAGACTCTTTAGAAAAAAGGTTACATGTATCAAAACAATTGTTGTTGTGAGTTACATATATATATATATATATATATATAGTTTTAGTCCCTTTCTCTCCCTTTCTTTGGTTATGTCTATTGTCAACCTGCTCGGTGCGCTACAATGCATATTAAGGTGTTGCGTTTATATATAAAGTTGCATAGTGTAATGAAGTGTGGACTTTCATTTTATCGCGTTACGAAGTATAGCGAAAAATAATTGTCCTGACGACATGTAAACGAATACGAAAGTGTGGTGTTACTGAGGTAAAATTGTTATGTAGGTTTCAGCCAATGAAATGTCAGTATTGAGAAAACGTGTTCGATTGTATCTACGGGTGGTTAGTAAGAGTTCACTTTCTAGAGCACGCTTTCCCGAGCAAGTCGTGTTTTAAATTTTGTTTTGAAATAAAATAGCTGAATTAATAATTTTTTTTAAAAACTAAGAATAAGCTATTTGGATGTTTAAATCGTGAGTGAGGGTCCGCCACTCAATTTTTTCGCTTACTCTGCATTTGCCGCGGATACACAGGTTTCCATAGTTTTTTTCAAAATATTTTTTATCTATGGTTTTTTCCTGGGCGGCAGAGGAGGCTTTAAGACTTAGATTCTATTGCATCAATATAAAAAGTTGTTGTGTGTATGTGTTTGTGCCTGTTTGTTTGTTGGTAAAATGTTATATCAAAACTGCTTTGTTTGTATGTTTGAATATATTCAATATAATAAACCTGGCGTCAACCTGCTCGGTGCGCTACAATGCATATTAAGGTGTTGCGTTTATATATAAAGTTGCATAGTGTAATGAAGTGTGGACATACGGGTTGGTACGAGATTAAATTCATCTTTATGGAAATTAATCTCGTGACCAATCCGTATTTATATCCCGATAGATGTTTTAAAATGATACCTCATTTCTTAAATTACGTCTCGAATTTGTACAAGCCTTTTTCTTAACATATTCATGTTTTACAGTTGTGATCCAGGATACACTGGGTCAATATGCAAGCCTAGGAGAAGAATAGATGAAACAATGCAGGCTGACTTTGGTATTCGTTACGAACCTGACTCCGATTTTATAGACATCTTTGGTGGAGAAGTTATTGGGGGTGATAAAGGTTGTGGAACATTGCTGTCAGGAGAAACACTATATTTTTCCGATGTACGAGAATTAATTTTATTCAACAAGCACGAGTATTACATTTCATCTCTTTTTCTACATATAAAGATAACCAACGTTAAAAGATTTATGCTATATTCTTACATTTTATCTCATAAGCTAAGAAGATAATATGCGTAAAAGTATGGTTCAGTTTTGAATTGCTTTTTTGAAGTACATTTATATAAGTTTTGTAATTTACTAAATAAATGATGACGGCAGTCTTATTGATATATGATTTTTCAACTATGAAAAGAACGGCGTGAGAGAAGCTCAGACAAAGGACTTGAACACGGAAAATGAGGATTATATAGAGTTTTACCTGAGGATAGGAGGGGGACTTCCAGATTGTGACGGGGGAGAAACCCCAGAGGAAGGGGTCGTTCTCCAGTACTCCACGGACGGGGGAACCACGTGGAAACTGCTCAGGGAAATGACTCCAGAAAAGTTCAGGAAAGCAAAGTAATCCTACGTCTTGAACCTGCAATAATATAATTGTGATTTAAATAGTCTTTTATGCGTATCTTTACTGAAATTTGACATAATGTCTTATTTCATGTAAATTTTTACATTTCTCAATACTGTAAACCAACTTTATAATTTCTTACAGCGATCCGGTCATAAAAGGCTCTGTTTCTATCAAAAATAGATAATTATAAAGGCTAAAAGCCTTGTTAGTGAAAACTAATCATTGCAAACTAGTTTATCCTTGGTAAATTGCGAAATAAAGTCGTCGCAAAATAAATTGGTTTACAGTATTCATTAGAAATCCCAATGTACATGTTTATACAAAATTTACATTTCTTTTTATCAGATTTGTTCACGTGGTGTTGCCTGAAGACGCCCGTTCTCCTTTGACTCGGTTTAGATGGTGGCAGCCCTTCCATTCCGGTGGAGGTACTGATCAGTGGGCTGTGGACGAGATACGTGTGGGTCATTATGAAGGCAGAAGGACAATTGAAGATAATTTTAACGTAAGTCAAGGAAATTTAATTTTTTGATTTTGCAGTCATATTACTTACTGTAAATTTGCATGCAAAGCATGGGGATACACAATTGTAACAGAAAACATTCAATTTTGTAAATTTGTGACTGAATAAAACGATAATGACATTTAATACCGGTAAGCTATATAAATAGAAGGAATCAATTTTGCATTTTGATGATATATATTTAGAGTCATACTGTTCCATTTCACAGAAAGTGAATTTTTAACTATATTAATAGTTTTATACAGAAAGAGTTCCATATTTTAAATTAATTTTTCCTCTTTCTTTAGACGCAGTTGAATGCAATAGATAAAGGTGTTTGGTCCACCATAACAGAAGGCATTCTGGGTAAATACTGCCAAAATCGAGACAGAGCTCTGATTCTGGCCAATCAGGAGAACGACAAGTTTGTCGTCACTAAAGACCTAAACTTAGAAGCTGGTGACGTCATACAATTCATGGTTTGTCTTTATGTTTACAATATTAGTGGAACAATTATTTTCTCTTTTTTCGAGAATTCAAAAATGCACATCGTACTTAAAACTTGAGGGAAATAATCCAACATGGGTTTTTAAAATTCATTTAAATAATCAATCCGTCAGTAAATCCGTCAAATTCTAAGATATCAATGATAGAAAGGTGCATCAGGAAAAATGGGAAATTTCTCTGTTGTGTTCATTTCTTAGGAACCTTAAGATCATTTTTCAAAAGAGGACCAATTTGTATGCATTATTAATAAAAGTTAACAATGCAGAAAAAACGAATCTTTCCTTTGCTTTTACATGACATTTAGCTGAAAGATATCACATTGGTAAAAAGTACAGTATACTTTTCATTGTTGTTTAACTATATTTCATTATAGCAGTTTCATTATAAAGCAACACAAAACAGATTTTGTTCATATATTGAGATCTTTAAACGTGGGTGTATGGAATTAATGAGTTTTTTTGTAACTGCAGATCAATGTTGGTTGTAGTAACCAGTTCCGTTGGGACCACATAGTCATGTTGGACTACAGTCACGATGGCGGTCAAACATGGCGGTTACTTGAAGACCCGTGTTACCAGGAGAATGATTGTGATGGAAAGTACACTGAGGGAACTATGTATTACTCCGGTCCACATGGTTACTGGCAAACAGTGATTATACCTGTCACAGACGAGTTAGCCATGCAGTATGTTTAATCCCTTTGTTATTTCATTTGAATGAAAAGAACTATATGCGGTACATTACATGTATTTGCCCCCACAAAAGTCACATTTTGAAAACTTCCTGAAATGTGCTGAATTCAATAAATTGTATGAGAAATATAATTTTAACAGAAAATATTAGTGTCAAAGCCTTGTATTCACAATTTTTGTTTTTATGACGTCACAAGCTAGTCCGATTTTATATCCTTTTTCAGAAAGAGGACAAAATAGACAAAATTTGAACAATTTTAGCTTTAAAATTTATAGAGCGCAAGTTTGTTCAGGAACAATATTAACATATTTCATTGATATTATCATTCTACACATTATATCAAAATATTGATCCTGAACACACATGCGCTCGGTGACTTTTACTCAAAATATCGACGAAATATGTACATTTTTCTGTAAAATTTATAAAAAACTGAAATTTACGTCATGTTTGTGACGTCATTACGTACATATGGCGTCATTACTAATGAAAATATTCAGTGCTTTGAAGTCAGCGTGTACTCCCCTGTTTAAGAACTTAATTAAATATATATCCATCAAAGTTCGATTTGGGGGGCAAATATTGGTTATAACCGAATAAAGTTCTTTAAATTATATTTATTTGTTTGTACTTCTTAATTAGAATTAAAATACATTTCATTTAAGTTTATTAACTTATTATTGAAATTGTTTAATTGTAATGCAACAGGACAATGATCCTGTTAGAGGAATCAAGATGCAACTTCTTGAAAAAGATTGGAAAATATTTCGAATCATCGGAAATTCTATTTATTTGATGATTTTATCGTTACAGCCCAGTTATGTTGAGATGGTGGCAACAGGGTGGATACCCATTTAATTTTGGACTTGACGATGTTTACGTGGGACCCCCATGTGAGAAGAACTGTCATAGAAATGGTGTCTGCGAACAGACTGATTGTGTATGTGATGAAGGATTCAAAGGTAAAGCTTAATTAGACATTAATATATTTTAATCAGTGCACATAAAATATCCTACTTATATGGTAATCTATTTAAAATATTATTATTTGAATAACAAATAAGTTCATCTGATAAAGTTTCGAATCAAAAATTTCACGTCCTTTTGTTTTATGGATTGATTCGCCGTATGTTCATTAATCGCTTTATCTAACCAATATTTCTGATGTCATAGGTCCGGATTGTGGCTTTGAGGGGAAAAGCCCTTACGGTTTGTCTGATTGGTTTGATAATCATCATGAGCCGTCAGACATTTGGAAGAGAATCATAGGAGGAAAGCTAGGTTTAGGATGTGGTGTGGTGGATTATGGGAATTCCTTACACTTTAGCGGCGACGGAACAAGGGAAGCCGTTACAGTGCCTTTGAATACAACGTATCTTCGGTATCCATTTCATTTTGAATGTCAATTGATTGCAAAAAAATGTATTTTGATAACATTCTTCACACCAATCATATTTTTAATAAATAGAGAAAATTTAACGTTTTAGGTTCATCAGAATGTATTCTTTTTTGAAACAGGATGATTCAGTTTGTGATAAAAATTGGCGGGAACGGCCATGCTTTGTCCTGCATGTTCCCTGTTGGCAGAAATGAGGGTGTGATTGTTGATTATTCTACCGATAACGAGGTTACATGGCATGTTCTTAAACTGGTGGAACCTAGGGTTCATAACTATACCACGGAAAGAGTTACCATGGAGTTACCACAGGATGCCAAGACGGAGAGAACTATATTTAGATGGTGGCAACCTCTTGGTTATGGAGGTATGACTAAATTACAGTTTTCGTCCTAGTGTAATAGGAAACACACTTAAGCTTGCTTTTGTAATCAAAATGATTTGTTGTTTTGATGTCTTTTTTTATTTCATAAAACAAAACGGGTTTATGTTGCATATTATGTGTATATATTATATTTTATATAGTATTTTGTAACCAATTGTTAGTGTCTATCTCCTTGATAAGATTATAGTGTAGTTTGCTACTTTGACTCTTAATAGTTGTTGTGTTAATTGCAGTTTTTAAGGATACAAGTACAATGTGAAAGTTTTCTTGATTACAGGATTAGCCCGTGCAGAATGGGGGTTGGATAGCGTT